ACAGGTGAGTTTGTCCTTATTGAAAGCATCAGGATAATACACAAGGCAGCGACGCTAGATGAAATGTGCTTCTTAGTTCTTATTATGGAAAGGAAAGCAAGGGGCTAGCTCCCAGACAATAACTAAAAGGAGAAACAGCCACAAAAATCTTGCTCTCCAGGCCCCTGCACGGTTATTTTTTCTAGAGATAGTTAATCGAAACTCTTGCATGACTTCACATTGGGCAATGAATATACAATGAAAGTGATTTTTGAAATTAGTCTTTCCTGGATCTGTTCCCCCAAAATATTACCTCCTGAAGAAAGGAAAAGACCAACAGGTCAAAAAAACAAAAGAAGGAAGGAAGGAAGGAAGGAAGGAAGGAAGGAAGGAAGGAAGGAAGGAAGGAAGGAAGGAAGGAAGGAAGGAAAACTAGAACAAAGCGGGTGTTTTTATTCTCATTTTCTACCTTCCCCCATCCAGCGTCTCTAACAGTTGAGAGTTTCAGACAGTAGGGTAAGAGGGTGTGCTGCTATTAAGTCCACTGGTCCTGTGTTCTTTTTTTTAAATTATTTTTACTTTTTACTTTAGATGCAGGGGATACACATGCATGTCCATTATAAGGACTTATTCTCAGAAGGCCCCTTCCCCAGATGGTGAACATTGTGCTCCACAATGAATTCCTGAATCTTGAACCTCCTGGCCCCTTCCTCCCTTATGGTGTGCCCGGTGTCTGTTGTTTCCATCTTTGTGGCCGTTTAGCTCCTACGTAAGAGAATATGTGGTGTTTGGTTTTCTGTCTCTGAGTCAGTTCACTTAGGATGATGACCTCTAGCTCCATCCACATTACGGCAAAGGACTTTTTTTTTTTTTTTGAGTAAAAGTCTCACTCTGTTGTCCAGGCTGGAGTGCAGTGGCACAATCACAGCTCACCATGGCCTCAAACCTTCTGGGCTCAGGTGATTCTTCTGCCTCAACCTTTCAACCTTTCAAGTAGCTAGAACTATAGGTGTGCACCACCACACCCAGCTAATTTTTTTTTTATTGTAGAGATGATGTCTCACAAAGTTGCCCAGGCTGGTCTCAGAACCCCTGGGCTCTGGCAATCTTCTCGTCTTCACCTCCCAAAGTGCTTGGATTATAGGCAGGAGCCACCAAGACTGGCAGGACATTCTTGTTTTGGGGGAACTAAAGACTGAATTACCATTTGACCCAGCAACCTCACTACTAGGGATCTACCTAAAGGAAAATGAATCAATATATAAAAAGGATGCCCACAGTCATATGTTCACTGCAGCACTACTCACAATAGCAGTCATGGAACCAACCTAAGTGCCCACCAACAATGGACTGAATGAAGCAAATGTGGTCCATATACACCATGAAATACACTGAACATGTGTTCTACAGTACTTGGCAGAAACACAGGTGAGCTTAAGGCAAAAAAATTAAACTGTATGTTTTTTCTTCACTTTTATTTTTAAATAAAAACATTGAAACTACTGGACTTAACATTGCTTTAGAGGCATCAAGCAGTTACATAAAGGTCTTATGTTGTGTTGTAAGGAAATAAAATCTGAGGTGCAGTCTGATGTCTTCTGGCTAACACTCACTTGGTATCAGTCACAGCTCATTGCACCCTTGTCTTATCAGTGGTCCTCCCTGGACACTTTTCCCAGCTCAGATAACTCCCTTATCTCTGAGTCGAGCTCTCCCCATATGTTCTACCCATTGGCTCCAGAACATCAGGTCAACTTGGCTGCAAGGCTTCTCTCCGGGTTTGCTCCTCCCAGATTCTCAGTTCCATCAAAGACAAAATAAATGAATTTATTTTACCATTTTAATGTCTTTGTTACCTAGAAGCAGTCTGTAGCTCTTCAGAAAATTAGACTCAAATTTACTTTTGCAAAAACTACACAGATTTTTACTTGTGTATCAACCCTTAACATGGAAGAGATTCATTCAGAAAATGAAATCTTATAGAAACAGGTCAGAACCCTTCCGAGCTGGGCTCGCTGCTCACCCAAGAATGTGTGGATGTGCCCACCACCCACGTGACAGGGCCATATACACAGGGAAAGCTGTGGATGGAAGGCCCTTTTCTAAAGATGTCTGCGCACTGGAACTGCCTGCGTTTTACCAGCTGGCGATGAGGCTCTGAATCAGAGGTGGGGAGGATATGCCAGGAAGCAGGAACATCGGGGTGAGCCAGCACCTGCAGACTTGTGAGTTTGTGGCTGTCACTTCTCTTTCCTCATTTTGAAGAGGACACAGGTACGTGCACTGGCAGGAAACCCTAATCCAGGGCATGAATTCAAGCCTCACTTCTCCTGTTGGCCTTGGGGTGCAGGGAGGGAAGAGGATGGTGAGCGGAGAGGGAAATGGAAACTGAGGAGACGAGATCGAGGGGAGTGGGGGTGACAGAGCTGGTTATGGGGGAAGGAGGGTGGCCACCCGGGGAGGGCGTGTGGCCTTCTCAAGTCACACCAAGGCCTCCAATACGGCGTTGAAAGTAAGACCATGCAGGAAGCACGTTTAAAGGCCACACATTGATCTTCAAAGTGGGGCAAATGACGGGGGAAAAAAGAGCTTAGAAAAGAGATGTGTAAGGCCACAGCGAGGAAGAGGCCGAGCTTCACCCAATCCCCCGCCGGCAGTGCTGAGCTCACATCTTGATGCCGGTTGAGACTTAGGTTGCAGCCAGACTCCTGGCCCTGGAAGCGATGCCAGAGCCACTTACAAGACACACGCTCTCCTCTTTCTCCTAAAGTGAAGATGATCCTGAATTCATGTGCGAGATCTTCTCCATACTGAGCAACCTAGATGCTTCCATTCATCTGCTGGAACGACTGGACAGGAAGACTCTCCCAGGGCACAAGGCTGTAAGGATACTCCACCGCCCTCCTCCCATGCCACTCAGCTGTGAACCCCGTCCCTGGATCCAGACCCAGCCATGGCCTCCCTCTTCCCCATCCCGGAGCTGTGCTATCTCAGAGACATGACAGGGCACAAGGTTTCCCAACCTCAGGGAGAAGGCCTATGTTAGTAAATGGCACTGCATGATTGACAATCTGCTTGGTAAGAACAAAGCTAGACTCTCAGTTCACTCCGTATCTGAAGACAAGTCCCGAGTGGATTTAAATGCCGTAAAAATAAGAAAACTTGGAGCTTGGGGGGGCTATTTTTAGAATCGGGTAGACCTTCTGTAATGAGATTAAAATGTAGAAGTCACTAAAAGAGAGAGGCATTTCTGACCAGATAAACATTTCAAAATCTTGTACAAAAAATGTCCCCAAAAGGAGGGTTACATATTGGCACCAACCTGATCATCTCGCTGAGCTCAGGCAAAAGTCAGCATTCAAAATGGCAGCAGGGGCCTGATGCTCTGACCATATGAGTGTAGACTGAGCTTTCATGAGGATGGCGACGATGACCCGTGCTTCTCTGGCTGCCCAGGGCCTGGCCACTGCCACAGGGTCTCTTGCCCCCTCCTGACACCAATACCTCCACACATGGCTTTTCCAACAGCCATGGGGGTCGCAGAGGGCCAAGGACTCCCATGTCTCCCCATCTGTTTTAACCATCTCAAAAGGGCTGAGAGTCTGACAAAGAAGCACATGTGAATGGCATGTGTCATGAAGAGGAAGTGGGGGAAGGGACAGTCACACCTCAGACCTGGCAAACCTCTCCCCAGGATGCCTGTGATTATACTGTGCCAGTGTGCTTTCTACTACAAATGCATTTATTGGTTTATAAAGTATATAAACATTTTATGAAAATATCCTTTATAATAATCGGGGAACAAGTGAAAATGAACAAACTCCACAAGGAAATTGTATCTGACCCTCCCCCCCGCCACATTAGGACTGGGAGAAATGGTAGGTGCAGGAGCACACCTTGCAAAGGGATTGTCAAGTCGTTCCACATTTTCAATAAAATGACATCAACTGCTGAAAGCATTAAGGTCTTTCTTATACTGAATAAAACTAATTCGAAAAGTGAACAGCACAGAGTTCATCATATATAATATAAGGCTTTAATATATTACATTTGTTTCTACATGGACTATAAATACATGTGCCATCGCTTGTCTCAGAGTCCTGTTCCCAGCGTTTCACACTCTGGCACCAAACGAAAATCAAAGGACAGAACCGGCAGGAACAGCTGTAGGTGTTAATCTAGACAATACAGTAGACATTGCATGACTTTGGCTATAAAGTCATTTTGAAATCTGGCTAACAACCGTTTAGAGTGAACACACCCTCAGGCCCACTGGGGTGTGGAGGCCAAACTGGGCAGCGGGGAGGAACAAGGGTGACTCCTTCCTGGAGCTCCAACACTGAGCCACTGTGTTCAGCACAACACATGGCTTAGGGCAGACAGGGGGCATTCACCGCAAAGAGTCGGAGCAGCTGTACAGGAGAGACACTGCCTCTTGCAGGGGGCCTGGGTTGAGTGTTCCTGCATCCTGGAGCTCTGAACAAGCATCAGCCGGTGAGGGGACCTGGAGTTGCATCACTTCCTTCCTGGGGCTCAACCAGGAGACACATAAGGGTCCGGAAGGAACACTCATCAGGGGTCGGAAGCACACAGGAGCTCCCCTGGCCCCCTGTGCAGAGCACGCCACCTTCCAAGCCAGCAGCAGAGCACAGGCCACCTCCACCAGCTGCCCACTGCAGAGGCAGCTGCACTCCCTGGAGGCAGCAGACTCCCCTTCCATCAGTCCACAGCCTGCTCTGAGCCCTGGCTCAGTTGACTCAGCCCACAGCCTTCCCATCTGTCCTGTCCAGCTCCACGGGGGGTCAGCCCCAGGCCCTGCTGCATCTTTGAGGGTAGAGCTGGTTCTTGAACACCTTTGTCCAGGCCACAGAGAGGCCCACAGTAGGGGGCACTTGCAAGCTTTTTAAATGAATAAAAAGAGAATTGGCCAGTACTGGGAGAAGGCACTAACACATTCTGGGGTCACAAGCATCTTCCCAGACCTGCACACCTGAGGTCCTCATTTGAAATGAAGATCAGACGCGACCCCTTCCTGGCGGTGGAAAGACGAGACTGAAGATCTGGGCAGCTCCTGGCATGAGACCCAGGTGGGGGCGGCACCCTTTTACATGGGAGGCAGGGCCAGCACAGCCCCAGGGTCGGGCTGGAGTCCCTGGACTGAGCCGCCGACCTGCGCTCCAGTCCCCACCAGCCTCAACAGTTCTGCTTCCTCACTGGAGTACACAGGGGTGTCCGTATCGTCGGAGTGGTACCCAGACTGGTAGCCACTGGTCTGGTTGGAGCCTTCAGACGCCACTGACTCCCTGCTCTTGCTGGCCATCATGCCACTGGGAGAAATACAAACAAGAAGTTGAGAAGTCAGAAAGAAGACAGTGGCCTTGCTTCCCACCCTCACCCAGCTCCCAGTGCCATGCAGGCTGTCCCCCAGGGAGCCGCAGTCACCCATCTTCCCTCTATTCACCTGCACATCAGGACTACCCGGGCTGTCTCCCAGCACATCAGGTCTACCCAGGCACATTCTCAGGTGCTTATATGCATGAGCAGTTGCAGGTGAGCCCTCCCACACAGGCCAAGTCTTTGAAACCTGGGTGAGACAATGCACAGTTCTCCCCAGCTATGCAAAGGCCCCGACCTAAGGACCCTTTATGGTCTTGCAGATTGACACATTTATATACAACCCCAGGAGCCTGAGGGTCACCTGTAAGGCATTCAGGGACACTGGGACGTTCTGGAAGTTCACTCGTGCCCGCCCTATCCTGGCAACCAGGGCTTAACTGGCACATGTGTAGGGTAAACAAGGCTCTCAGGTGACAGCAAGCCTTAATGGCCAGCAGCGTGAGCCACCAAGGTGTGTGGAAAGCAGCTCCTGACTCATCACAACTGCACTCCTGGGGAGAACTGCGGCCCCCAGTCTCTCAGCAGCAACCAGAGGTGTCAGTGGTATGGGACCCTCACAGATGACAACAGTGCAAAGCCCAGAAATGCAGGTTTGACCTCGGCTGCAGAAGGTGCTTTCTTAAGTCATCCAGGTCCTTCTTTCCCTAATGAGGGGTTTTACCCAAACTACTCATGTTAAAAACTGCTAAAAAAGGATTGCATTAACTCTCTGTTCATCGATGGTTTAAAGATTACTTCAAATGACCAGAAATGCCATTTTTCTTTTACTCCAACTCCAATAAAACCAGTGTAGATGTCTTAGCATGGTACTTGGCACGCAGTAGTTGCTGAATAAGTACCTCTTGAATCAATGAATGAAACATGATTGGCTCTCACAATTTCCTACCTTGGGCCTTAGACAAAACAATAACATTGCACAATGGTACATTTTAAGTTTTGGCTTTTTGTTTGTTTTTGTATAAGCCTCACTCAAAAACCCATGGGTGTTCCTAATATACAACAGTTAGCTTACAAGTCGATCAAAGCCTCCTCTATTCTTACCTAGAGTGAGCCCTGTAGCAAATAAACAACTACTCTTATCCTATTTTCTTATAAGAACAGATTTTCATGTGTTATGTTAACAGCAGGAACACCCATTCAAAGCAACTATGAATTCCTACTGAGCCATGTGGAGATTATATTCAAAGTCAAATTAAACACTTTTTTCACAATACTTAAAAACTCAGACAATAACATTTTAGTATCTTAAACAAATAGATATTGGCTTATTGATATGCCATACCTCAAGTTCAGATGTACCATTGGTATCTGTACATGTAGAGGTATGAAAATTCTTCAGAGTCCACAGAGATTGTAATTATACCAATAGTTTTAGGGCTCAGATCCAGTGCCCTCTCTGTCATTTAGCTAATACTATACAAACTACTGACCTTAGTAAATATACTCAGAAATTCACCAGTATTTGTTAATTCTCATATAAATGGACCAAATCCTCTAATTTATTTCAGCTTATTTACTGGTCACTTAATTTCATCGTTTTCCTTCAATTCTTTATTTGTTAGGTTGATACGAACCTCTCCAACTGAAAAGGCACAAAAAGGGAAAAGTTCTGCACCTACGTTGAAAGTCCTAAGTTCCTTCCAGAATTCCCTGAACTTTATAGATTTCATGTGGCTGAGTCTTACCTAAAAGATGGAGTTAGTTTGGTTCTGTCTTCCAATGTCTTCAGCTCTTCTGAGGCAAGAACCATACCACTGTCTGTCTGGCTGTCCTTTTTAAGAGACAATGAGATGGCAGTTAGGTGAGCATGTCCACTGACCAACTATGTAGCTAAAGGGACTCTTGACCCATCTATCAGATAAGCCCCTGCAGAGGACGGTAAAGGCCTCACAGCCAGAAACTGCTGGCAGCCAGTAAGCAGCTTCTTCCTCTGAGCAGCTGCTGCGGGGGTGGGGGCCGGGGTGGCAAAAGGTAGCCCTAGGATGCCTCTGATTTCTCTCACGATGCCACCTGCACGTGAGTGAAGCTAGGCAGAAAGCTAGACTCTCTTGAACCCTGGACCAGGGGTTGCACCTGTGGAAAAGTTGGTGTTCTACCTTTACAAAGACCCCACGACATAGGCTCTCAGGAACAGCCTCGTAATGAGGTTCCAAGGCTTTAATGCTTAGGCTAATATTTATCCAACTAGTGTTTCATCCCTTGTATTATTTCTGAGACTATTTTTAAAAGATGTACTTACATCTGGGATTACTTTTACTTCTGGTTCCTCCAGTGGGATGTCTTCAAATGTTTTTACACTCACAGGCCGGCTCTTTCGCTTACTGTTCTGCAGATACTGACTGCAAAAGAACAAATATTTCTATTTTCGTGGTGGTATATTTGACTGCGGATACCACAAGTGATACCTACATTCATTATCTTTCAACCACAAGCTTAATAGCGACCTTCAAAACATCCTTTGGAATAAGAAAAACAAAACAAAACAAAATCTTTCTCTGTGAGCACACACTGAAGTCTTGATTTCCTGTGAAAGTCCATTTAAAAGTATAATTCAGCCAAGGAGCCAGGAGAGCCCTGTTCCTCTGAGTCATGCTTCTGAGGTCCAGCGCTGGCTGAAGATGCAGCATGGATGGGTGGCCCACCACCTCCCACTTGGCTTCCCCACCATCTCCCGGGAAAGGTAACGCTCACAGAGCAACCATCTGATGAAGGCAGGGGGCATCTTTAGGCCTACCTGGAGGGCACTGAGGCTGGGACCCCCCGGAGACACAGCCTCAGTCCACGGGCAGCTGAAGCTCACGTCCCTGTTCAAAGCCCCAGGGTTTCCCATCTCATGAAAGGGCAGTGGTCTGAGGGGCATGAGACACCCTGCCTATCTCAGAGTTGGCCAATGACTACAGAAACCTGAGAAAATCATGCCTATTTCTGTCCCTCCATTGTCCTGTCTTTAAGATGTGTTTGACCACAGCTGTCCCATTTCTCCCAAGGACACCGGGAAGATGATGTGGCAATGCTGGAAAATGCTGGACACACTAGGGATGAGTAAGGCTGTATCAGCTGAAGCTTGTTTTTTTTCCCTTGAATCCCAAAGGGTGCCAATTTCCCTCAGAAGTCCAAGAAAAAGACATTTCAGATCACTTTTCTTGGGGGTCCTCCTTCCCGCCATGTGGCTTTGGGTAGGTCTGGGCAATCCTGTCAAAATCACTCACAGCCCGAGTGGAGAGAAGGGAAGACAGGTGAGAAAGGACAGACATGTCTCAGAAGCCACCAGCCTCTACCATGGGAAGCAGAGCCCCGGAGGCCTCAGGGCTTTTCCAGAAAGGGTCTATGGGGATAGAACACACACTCTCCTCTTATATCCCAGCCCACGCTCACAACATGCAGACTTCTGGAGCACCGAATGGATCTCTGTCACTTTCCACCTGCAGATGAGGGAGCCAAATTTGGGGAGAAAATGGCCAATGAGGGGAGGGGCTGGGACCCTCAGATCTCCAGGCTCCAAGCCCATAGGCATCCTTGGTGTCTGGCATCACCTGCCCCACCTGGTATCCCTGAGAGTGTCAGGGAGGAAGAGGGAAGAGACAGCAGCAGACATGCGTGCTCAAGCCTTTGTTAAGCACCTGGTACATGCACAGCGCGTTCCCACGGTTATGTGTGCACTGTGGGCAGTGGGGGTGCATGCAGGGTATGAAACAGACAACAGGTGGAAATGGGACAGCCCACCTCAAGCAGTCTAATATCAGAGCCAAATTCAGAGGTACTCTGGCAATAGACTGGTCCATGCCTCAGTCTACCCAGGACATTGAATCCTCACCAGCAATTCAACAAAATGAAGAAAGCGGTGTGCATAAAAGCCTTTCTCTGGGAGGGAAATGCAAAATCCTGGATGCCTGCTTCGAGTGGGAAGGTAAGACCCCAAGATGAAATGTCAGAGCAGCTGCAATGGCCCCCAAACTGCCTACAGACAATCCAGGGGAATGTGTGTTTTCCTGCAGGAGGCAGTAGACTCGGGGACAGGGCTGGTACTCAAAGGAAACCAGAGGCAAAGCTGAGTCCAGAACCAGGCAGGACTTCCCCATACACTTCTCGGCCTCTTCTCTAAATAAATGCTGAATGCATGTTTTAAAATGGCTTACAGGGATAGACATCACCAGGCCAGCCCCACTGAGGCCTCATCCAACTCTGTTTACAACTCAGTGGGACTGAGGGTGATATCGAGGAAGCCAGTGAGGCTAGACAGGTGAGAGAAGATGGATGTGCCTCTCTACCCTTGGGAACAGAGCCCAGGAGGCATTGGGATTCAGCTGGACAGGTGAGAGAGGATGGACATGTCCTGGGAGCCACCAGCCTTTCTACCTTCGGAAGCAGAGCCCTGGAGATCTCAGGACACAGTGCTGTGTCATGTGCCTTTCTCTGCCTTTCTTCTAACCCAGACGATTAAAATGTGCCCATGAGATTTACTTTTATAAAAAGGAAAAAGGTGGAGGGGGTTGGGAGTGGATGCAAACAAAAGATTTCAATTTCCACTTCATTTCTAAAATCGTGGCTGGATGAAAGAGAAACTGGCCTGGAAAAACCAATTCAAAAATCACAGACAGAAAATAGGAGCCAGGCGGTGCTGGGCTGCAGAGTGGCCCCTGCCACACCTTGGGATAAACGCTAGCAGCCCTGGAGCCAGCCTTGAATCCAGCACCTCCCCCACAGCATGACCTCACCTCCTGTTCAGCGCCACCTGCGAAGCACCCAGGAGCCCGAGGAATGCCAGCCAAGCCTTGCACCAGCACAAGGGCTCTAGCTCACAGTCAGATGAGTCAGATAAAGGGGAAGGTGATGGCTCACCCTTGAAGACGACCGAACTTGAACTAGAGCCTGAAACATGAGTGGTGCTGCAGTCTCCTTGCCTGACTCGACCTCCCTGAGATCCTCCCTGGCACAGGCAAGACGGCACTGAGTTAGCCATCAGAGGAACCGGGCCTGTCAGGGACATGATTTCAAGCTGCTCACATGGCAGCTGTGAGTGCTGTGAGTGCTCCAGGGCCAGGCACTTAGAAGTGCATCCTATCATGTAACTCTTAAAGCAGCCATTTCCATAGCTCCAGTGGCCCACCTCATTTCACGATAGGAAAACTGAGGAAGGGGTTGGAAGACTTGCCCAAGCCACACAGCTGCTGAAGGCACACTTGTGAGCTCACTGCTCTATCTGACCCCAGTTCCTGGACCTTCAACCCCAACACAGCACTGCCCTCAGGGCACCATGCTGAGCCCACGTTCAACATCTACAGCACCAAAGGGTGACAGTTGCTACTTTGCCTCACCGCGTGTCACCACAAGGGGAATCTGACACCATAGGGGAAAGCTCTGACCATCTGGGCATGCCTCTCTCCCCACTGTACTCAGCCTGCATCACTCCAGGGGGTGCAGTCCTCAGTACCTGCCACATGGCCACCAGCCCAGGAGCAGCTGCAATGGCCTCCAAAGTATGCCCTGCACCCACCCCCACAGCTAGGCACCCTTCAGAGGGCAGGCTGGACCCAGCTGCTCAGGGGCTCCGTGAAAGGAGGAAAAGAGCAACACCAAGGGAAGTCGTCCTGGGCCAAGTCAAAGGTGATTGGAACATCATGTCATGGAAAACCATCCCAACACTTTCCTCACGCATAGGCACTGGGAGAAGAAAAGGGAGATGGCCTCCAGGACCCTAGGACAGGAGAGGGCTGGTGGGTATGTGTTTCAAATAAGCCACGATGACTATTATGCAAATAAAATGCCAAAAATCAGCCTTGGGTGGGGCTTCCCAATGCGATATCCAGTCTAATTCAGGACAGACCCAGCCCAAGAGCTATACATGTGTCCTCACATGGGACAGAGCACTCCCCATGACTCTCCCAAGCCACTTCATTCAGGGTCATGAGAGCACTTGTGGGGATGATTTACACGCAGCTGTCTGTGCGGCTGGTTCCTTTTCTCTGGGGAGTCACAAGCTGTGGCATTCCAGCCATTGTCACTGCAGGGTGGGAACCCCTAAGCAAGAGCCCTGGCAGCAGCATGGGCCCCAGATGGGAGGACACTAACCACCCAGAGCCTCTTCTGTGAGCACCCCCACCTGGTCCCAACCGAGGCAGCTGGTGCAGTGGTCTCACATGACGCCTGCCTCCACGGCACCCCCAGGGCCCTGAGCCCCCTACCCAGGCGGTTGGCCACACAGTACCTGAGTCCTGCTGTGTTGTCATAATGGAACTTGGGGTCGCATGCTTCCTCCTCCTCCATACAAGAAACAGGTGAGGTTGGCAGAGAGAGCCCAGAGTCCTCCTCCATGCTCAGAGTCTCTGATATGGGAAGAACAATGTAGTCTTTTCCATCCTGAAACAATAAACACAGAATGCTATTGTTGTGGCTCAGTCCACGAGAGCCTTCTTAGACAAAGGCCACAGGGCTTCTAGGCTGTGGCATGTGTGGCTTTCACATCTGAGCATAAATGGCAGGATGACATCAAAATGGACTGTCAGACACTGAGGGCTTAAGAGAGTTGCATGTGCTTATGGTGGTCTACACAAGTGGACAGGCCAGGAGACACGAGGGCCATGGTGACCACAAAGATGATGCTGGCGGTGGTCAGAGAGGCGACAGAGCACACAGAGCGCCACAGAACGAGAGATGGCCCTTCACAAAACCAGGCCACACAGGCACACGCACCAAAGGGACCAGCACCCCACTCAACCATCACGTCACCAGGCAATAGAAACATTGATGCCTGGTCAAGGAAAGGCAGCCCATGGGTACGACATGGGCCTTCCGAGGAAAGGCTGCACAACTCAGCGAGATTTCACCAAGAAAAGGAAATAAAGGGCAATGAGATACCTTTGAACATTTGGAAGGTTTATCGATAAAAACGGGTGACCCATTCTCCTGGCTGCGCAGAAGAAAAGGGGGAGAAACTTGGCTTCTGCCACAGGAGTGGCATCAATGGAGCACAAACAGCAAAGCCTACGACACCGAATCCTCCCAGGGAAGCCGCAGCAGCCCAGGCTTTCACTAAGCAAGAAACCCTCTATTTTACATAGCTTAGATGTGTTTGCCCACATAATTTACTTAAAATGTCCTGAAATTTCTTCAATTACTTGGTATTCTGTGGGTCAACCAGATTTTAACTTTGTAAGAGCATTTGAAGACATAACACAAAGATAAGTAGGTAGAACTAGAGTGGGCTGTGCCCAGGCTGTAAACGAGGTTCTCCTCTGTCTAAGAGAGTAATCACAGCTTTCAGAAAAGCATCTGACCACTACTCTAATGGAGCCAGGCGTGGTCCACCGTTCCATGACTGGAAGGACTTCCTGGTCACGAGGAGGCCCGCACAGCAGGGGGTCTGCGGCCCTCAGGAATCTTTGCAGAAGCTTCTCTGAGGGAGGTTACCAACCTGCTGAGCATTTGCTTGTAACAGGTTCCCCAGATGCTCCACCAGCTCTGAGAACGTGGGCCTCTGACTGGGCTCCCCCTGCCAGCAGTCAAGCATGGTCTGGTACCTGGGGAAGCAAAGCACCGATTTCATTAGCTGCCTCCTGCTCCTGGGTCTGATGCTGGAAACAAGCACTTGAATGGGTAAATCTTTCAAAAAGTCCACCATGGGCAGACATGCTACACAGGAAACCAGAATAGATCTGGCACCTGGGCTCAGGTGTGCACAGAGAGAAAACCTCACAGTTCAACAACTAATAAAAATGAACTGGCAGGCAGGAATAGTGACGTATGGCCATTTTGAGAAGCAATGACGTTGTGCTTGAGACCATCATGGAAGGCTTAAGACAAAAGCAGGACATGCCGGGCCACGAGGGGGGCACGTGTGATGGAAAGACTTGTGAGCCACAAAGGACAACAGAAGCATACTCGCTGATGCCTTACATTTCTGGTGTGGTGTAATCGGGGGCCCTCATTCGTGTCCCTTCCTTCAGTCTCCTACAGAACTCTTCATCAATCTTCACCCCAGGATACGGAGAAGCACCTGGAACGAAACAGCGAGAGACGTCATTCAATTTACTTTTCTCAGCAGAAAGGACTGAGCCTGACCTGTGCATACCCTTGTCACCTATAAATCTCTTTTTCTTTTAGATTTCACAATACAAGGCTTCCCAGAAGTTTCACCTGACAGAGGTGAAGGACAGGCAAGGAGAGATCCTATTTGGAGCCTGGATAGAAGGACAGGAAGGTGACTTACCTAAGGAAAATATTTCCCAGAGCAAAACACCGAAAGACCACACGTCACTCTGAATTGTGTACACTCTGTCAAAAATTGTTTCTGGGGCCATCCACTTCAAAGGGAGGCGAGCCTGAGAGAGCAGAAGAAAGGAATCAGAACCCCAGTGAGCAAATATCCAAAGGAAGAACTTCCTCTGTTCCCGACACAGGCTCTTACGATGAGGAGTGTTCTGTGACTTAATGGAGCACTGGGGTCATCTCTGAAACTTACATCTCCTTTTCTGACATAATCTGGGTCTTTATAAATATCCCGGGCCAAGCCAAAGTCACAGATCTTAACCACGTTCTTCTCTGATAAAAGGATATTTCGTGCCGCCAGGTCCCTGTGGATACACTGCAAAGACAATCGTGTATGGGTTAGGCCTCAGCACAGCTGATTGCTTTCACATCTGCTGTGACCTCATGCTTGAAAAAAATCCCACATCAGAAAACCACCTGATTAACAAGGGCTGGGCTAGTACCTCTTACCAACACTTCAGGGGAACAGTCTATGAGCTTCATTGAAACACACATCTGCTTATGCCATAAGCAGTCCCCGCCTTTGGAGTTGAATACTTGAGTTATAATATGATGACGGAGTCATAAATAAACTTCTCCAGGACACAGTTAAAAATGTGTTTCTGGTCACATCCACACAGTCCTTTTGCCTGACACCATATATGGTTTAAGCGTGTTGATCCAAGGAGGTCCCAGAATGGAACTTGGTTTTTGAACGAATACACGGGAGCCAGGAGCGAAGGGCTCTCATTGGCTGAGCATCTTTGTTGGCCTCCCCATCTCACATGGAACCCAAACTGGGCGTGTCCTGACCCAAGAACCAGGCTATCACAGGGCTCAAGTGCAGCCCTGTCAGCCTGTATGAGCTAAGGGGATTCTCCAGTGCGCCACAACCACACGGAGTTCTCCCAGCCTTCCTTCCCTTCTCTCCTTTCTCCACATCCTCCAACTTCATCTAACTTGCGACTACCCAGAAGCTTTAGCTCCACAGATAAATGTGTGAGAGAACCAGTGTCTTGGGGAAGCCCACAAACAAATCAAAGCTTCAGGGAGACTGCCTGCATGGGTGTGGAGTGACCACATGGGCCGGGCAACGCATGCTCTTTTGAACAAGGCACTGCCTGGCACAACTGGGCAAGACTGGGTTTTCCAGGAAACAGACAGCACTGTCCATTTTCCCCAGCCAAAACTCCCCTTTTTCAGACCAACAGCCAAGAGGTATTCATGAAATCACTAGGTAGATGCAGCAAAGCAGAAGGAACCCCCCACCTCACCCATTCCCTCCTGGTCCCCAAGAGGAAACACAACCTGTCAGTGAGCTCTGACCTTAAACCAACAATGATAATTCATCATAATCTCCAAGAAGAGAAGAAATCTTCTGTTTGGGAAAACCCAGTTTCTCTCCCTTCCCATGGGAGAGCAGACGCTTCTAGGGTCCTTGGGCTCTGGGTGCAACACAGAGCTTTAAACTCCGGAGGAAGACAGACTAGGGATTTCACTCTAATTTACAAAACACAAAATGCCTCAGTCTTTCTTTCCCCATAGGCCAAAGCCAACTCGTCTGGTCAACTGACAGTCCTTCCTGAACCTTCACTTGGCTTTTCCTTGTTTGACATACAGCTGTGCTTTGACCCTCTGCACAGTGACTGCCACTCACCGCTCTGTGGTGCTCACGACCTCCGGAATACTTGCGACCTGTCACGTCCCCACCTCAGCCTTTGTTTGCCCTATGTTTCTAACTTTAGCCCTCTTAATCGCACTCATCTGAAACCCGTCCTTCCTGGTTTCTAATTATACCACTAACAAATACTTTTGATGGATGATGATAAATGTAAAATGAATTAAAATAGATTCTCACGCCAAGATATCCGTTGGGCTCAGTCCCTGCCATCCCAAATCATGCTTAAATGTCAGCTTCTTAGGAAAGCCTTCCTCGTCCTGGCTTAAACCAGCATGCACACACAGAAGCGTGCACACACGTGCGCCACTCCCAGATGCTCCATAACCCATGTCTGCCTTCATTTTCCCTACAGTGGTGGCTCCTACCTAAATCTGCCATGCATCTTACTTGTTAATGATGACTGTTGTCTGCTCCGCCCATGGGAACATAAACTCCATGAAGGTGTAGAGCTCGACTGATTGCTCACCCTGGGACTCCTGCTCAGAAGACAGCCTAGCACCACGGAGATGTGTGATCAATAGCTATCATGTAGATTAATTCTGTGAACACCTTGACCCCCCCCTAAAGTGCAGACTTGGCCTCCCCATCAGGGCTCCTGTGCACATCCTAGAAATGACAAAAGAATGGCAATTCCAAGCAGGCACCCTTGGCCTGCAGGAGACCTCATATTTCCAAGGCTGTGGTCTGAAGAGAAGTCCCCGACCGGCTTACCTTGCGCGACGCCAAGAACTCCATGCCCTTTGCCACCTGGAAGCTATAGCAGATGAGGAGCTCCAAGGTCAGGAAGTCCTTGTAGTGATCCTCAGGAGCTGTCAAGAGACAGGAGAAGGGTTAGCATTCCCACCGGTCAGCACAACTGTTTCTAATCTCACGAGAGTCATGATCTTGAGGACTCAGGAGTTAAATTTCAGGACATAAAGGCAGAGAGTAATGCCTCTGTTGCCTGTGGCTCTTCTGAATCCCAGTATTATTAGCCTCCATCATGCCCCTTGGGGAAAAGATTGGTCTTTCCATTTTAGCCAAATTAAACCCATAAATCCAGGAGGTAAGTGGAAGTAAAACTGGCTTGGATAATGGGCAAAAAAAGAGGATTTTTTTCAAGTTTTCTGTTTTAACTTTTTTGTTTTGTTTTGTTGTTGTGTACCCAGAAGAATCGGCAATAGTCTTATATTAAGAACTCTGAAAAAAAACCAATACTCAGGGTCATTGAAGCTTTTCTCTTCAAAATATGTCCTGGGACAAAGGCCAAAGGTCAAACAGTAATCTACAATGGATAGCTAAAAATACCAGAAATATATTTACTTCTCTCAGTTTCGAACTTAAGAAGTGCTGTAAGGACATTAAGTCTGGCCTGTGGGAATGTTTTTTCCTGAGCGATAACAGGAATGTGAAGAGAAAGATGAATTTACGTAAACTGGTGGTATTTACTTCAGTGCAACAGGCACAAATAAACACTAAGACATTAATGGGTGTTTCAAAATGATCTCTTAACTCTGGTCAGATAAGATAACACTGTGGCTTCTTTCCTGAAGACAAATACCAGAATAAACAAAAACTCAGTTGGAATAATAACCTTGCAAGTATTGAAAAAGCTGCAAGACCTTTTCTCCATGACTTGTGAGCACAGGGTTCAAGGGCTCTTAGTGGACAATTAGTGAAAGCCCCTCATTTTCATGACTCTGTTCTCCTAGACTCACACCTCAAGAGGAGCCTGAAGTCAGAAGTCCTGCCTACACCCATCAAGCTGTCCCTGCTCCTGAAGAAAGCAGGTACACTGCTATCCTAGAGCTGGTGTAGTCCTAGATAGCAGGCTGGGACCACAGTGCCACCCATAAGGAGCACTAAGGCATCATGGGAGATGTAAAGAAAGGCCATGCTTCCTCGGGGATGTGTGGTGGGAGGGATGCCTTGGCAAGCTGCTCAGGGTGGGGTGAATAAGTCCTGAACTGCCCTGAACCAGGCCAGGTATGGTGACAGAGGACCTTTGCGTGCCAGTGAATTGTGCTCCACATGCAGGAGGCTCACCGTCAGGGAATACGCAGGCCCCCCCACTGATACAAGCTGATACCAGTGGAGGGCACTGGTGTGACTGCAGCCAACCGCCCAGCCCTTTGAGTTACCAGCCTCTCAGGCTAGCCACTTCACTTTGGAGGACAGGGTGGAGACAGGCCAAAAAGTCAGGTCTCTTTCAGACACGAGGCAGGATTGACTTTTTCCGTGACCTGTGCCTTGTGACACCTGTCCTATCTGCTCCTGCAAGCACATGCGTCAAGCATGGAGGAGTCATGGCAGTACCTTCCTCTTCCTCCACATCACTGAGGGACTTCTCCTCCACAAAGCCAGAGCTGGCAGAGCTCTGGCTGCTGGTGATGCTGTCCAGGCGGCGCTTCAGATCCACGGGGACTTCCCCAACGTAGTCTTTCCCTGGCCGGAACCGAGTCCCTTTGGTCTATGGAGAAACAAAGGAACACACTCTGTGAATGCAACACAGGCCTTCAGCATACAGCCAGCTGCAAAGACACCAAAACCATCAAAAAGCTCCAGGACGGGCAGTGGTGCCAGGTCCAGGCAGTCTCAGGCTGGAATCTGGGGCCAGTTTTGCACAGAGCAGGGCCTCTCCCAGACAGCTGAGCTCCTCCTGCAGCCTAAGAAGGCCAGTGCCTTGTTTCAAGCTGTGCTCAGGCACACTCAGCAGAGGCTGCTTTTCACAGAATGATTCGCTCTCCACGGGGCCAGCATGGCAGGGGGAGGGAGAATAGCTGGAGCTAGCTTTTCCTCTGCCCCCCCTCCGTCCTTGGTCACACCCCCTTCTCCCCACTCTGGCACTCTATAATGGGTCAGTAGATTAAAGTCACAAAAATCAGACATGAGACACATATGGCCCCCAGAAGGTGGAAGAGGAAGTTCCGGCCGCCAAGGGGTAACACGAGACGGCGCCTCACAATCTCCCACAGAATTTCAACTACAAGTCTGGCCTGAACCACCCCGCGTTTTCCTCCCATGACAACAGGGCTGGAGCTGAGTGAGGAAGTGATGTACCTTGTAGGGGATGAATTCGCTTCTCTTGCTCCTTAAGTAAGTTGACAAATTCCCAAACTTGCAGAATTCCACAATCACCATGAGCGGCCCTGCAGACAGCACATCAGGGAAGGAACAGGTGTGATGATCCCCAAATGCCTCAGAAGAAAGCCAACCTTCTCCTGGGCCAGCATTAGAGAAGTCATCTTGTCTCAGTTCTCTCATGTGGGATCTTTCCTTTTTCCAAAAGGCAATCCCACAATAAGATCAGTCAAAATTTCAGAAGAAAACCCATCACTGGCTTCTCAATGCATCACTGAAGATGTCTCCATTTGGGGGAGGGACCACCCTTAGGGGTCCTTTGCTTTCAAGTTTTTTGGGAAGCTTACATTTCTCATCTGAACATCTATTACATGTATAACAAACTGCATCATAGTGGTGTGACATTTCTTAATTCAGGGAAAGTTGTAGAATAATTTCATTAGAACACTCACTAAATTTTCTTGAAGTATATTTATGCAGTAAGTCCCCTACATATGAATGAGTTCTGTTTCAAGAGCATGTTCATAAGTCCAATTTGTAAGTCCAACAAGTCGTAGGTCCAACAAAGTTAGCCTAGGTGCCCAACCAACACAATTGGCTATATAGTACTGTACTGTAATAGGTTATAAATTTTTTTCACACAAATAATACAATTTAAAAAAATACAAAAAATAAAGCATTTTTAATCTTAGAGTCCAGTAGCTTAAAAAGTGCAGTAGTACAGTACAACAGCAAGCGGGATGGCATCAAGGGAACAGGCAAGTAGAGTTACTGACTGGAGGAGGGAGGGAGGTGAGAGACGGTGGGCAAAAACACAACCACATGTAGAGGATGTATGCATGTGACAATGCATGCCAGACACACGAACTAACTTAAGGCATTAGATATGCGAATGCATGTTTGCTCTTTGAAAGTTTGCAACCTGAAGGTTTGTAGGTAGGGGACTGCATCTAGAAATCCAAGACAGTATTCTAAGTTAACAAAATCAGGACTATGGGAGTTGAGGGGTTTCCCTCCAGTACTAGCAGAAGCATGTGTCAAAGTAAGATAACCAAAGCCACCTACAAGGACTCACCTCCAGGCTTGGTGCAAGCACCAAGGAGATTGACCACGTTGAGGTGGTGGCCAATGTGAATGAGGATCTTGAGTTCAGACATGAGGGCCCGGTGCTCACTGTGGGTTGCTCCTTCTGCAAACACAGATAGGGGGCAAGAGACATGTGGGCATGGCCTCAGGGTGACAGCCCTACCCTCCACTACATGCCCCATGTAACCTCTCCTTGGGGGCACACCATGACCTAACTCTCAGGCAAGGCATGTTTCTTCAAGTCAAGTGCAAACACTACCCTTTTTTTTTTTTGAGTCAGAGTCTCACTCTGTTGCCCAGACTGGAGGCAGTGGCATGCTCATAGCCAACACAGCCTCGATCTGCTGTGCTCAGGCTATCCTTTTGCTTCAGCCTTCCAAGTAGCTAGAACTACAGGCATGTGCCACCACGCCTGGCTAATTTTTTTTTTAATTGTAGAGACTAGGTCTCACCAAATTGCCCAGGCTGGTCTTGAAGCCCTGGACTCAGGCAATTCTTTTGTTTCGACCTCCCAAAGTACTGGGATTATAGGCCCAGCGCAAATACTACTTTCTAGCCCAACATGCACTCTATGCTTTATGTGAACCCAGAATGCTTGATATTTAAGGGACCCATAGTGAAGTCACATGCAGAGGGGAGGGTGTCTCTGCCATGGAACTGTGCTCTCTTCTGCCACAAAACTGGATTGTTCTATCTCAGGTTGACCATGTGTCCCAGGGTCTGGTCATTTCAGTATGCCCTCACAAGGAGGCAGTGTCACATGTTAAATGTCCTCATGGGTTAGGGGCTCTCCTGAACAAGCCAGCAAACCCACATCCATTTGGGCAGGCTCCTTGAAGGGGCCAGTCAGCCAGGCCACTTGGTACAGGAGGCTGATGGGACCAAGACTCTGTCTGCTCCTGTATGATAGTCTACATTTCCCTGCAAGCACAGTTCACATGTCAGCCCTAACAAGTTGCCTCAAAATGGCATATCCTTTGGCCACAAGAGAGAGGAGGCAAAAGGAGAGAGCTGGCTCTGAAATCCACAGGCCTATTGGCAAAGGGCCAGGGGTGCTATCTTCTTCTGTGAAAGCACAGCACAGTCAGAGCAAAGGGCTTTATAGGCATCCCTTTTGGAGCCAAACAGCTGGGCCAGAGGCCCATCACTACCAGGATAAACAATGATCTAGAAAGCTTTCAACCTTTAAAAAGTCACCCATCGTCCTTTTTTCCTAGCATAACCATTCTTATTTTGTAAATTATCTTTTACATATGAAAATCCCAAGCACTTTCCAGTTATTGGGAGCATGCTGTTTTACATTTCACTAGTTCCCCTTTCATATTTCTATATGGTACATAATTATCTCACACCATAATCTAATGAGTAACCATGGCCCTGTTCTTCTGTAACCAGGAAAAGCAGGCTAGCTGAGCTCTGCACAAGGGCAACCAGGCAGAGCAGGGAAACCCATCCCAGCTCTATTTGCCTGGCTGTGCACCTGACTACAGAGGGGGACCTTTTTATCCAGTGTGCACAGGTCATTGTGCAGGCTGGCTGCATGCCAGGTTGGTGGACCCTCCTATGCACACAGCCACAGACACAAGCCTCGCATCATGTGCAAAGACTGGATAAACAGAGAGAGATACATCGCCATGTAATTTTGTTTTTACCTTTCAACATTTTGACGGCCACAGTCCTGCACGTTGCCGTCTTGTCGATTCCAAAGGCATCTGCTTCGATCACTTGGCCAAAGGCACCACGGCCAAGAGGCTTACCTGGAGTCAACAGCAATGCACAGCACAAGGACTTGGGTTATAACAACACCAAGTGACAGGCAAGGATTCCAACCAGATAGGCTGACCACACATCCACATTTAACATGGGCAGCCCAGTTCACCCCCTGCCCTGGTTTAACTACTGCATAACCCCCTTCACAATTCCAGAGTCTTGCTTTGGATGGTTATCCAGAGACTCTGCTTCCAAGGGGCTGAGCAACTACCCAAATTCACTCCAAATTGGTATTTTCAAACCCAAATCCAACATCAGAATAGACTGGGTGTGTCTAGCAGAGCTGGAGATGGCTGGGGGAATACAGCATCCAAGTCATGTCAGGTGAAAACGCACCGAGCTTGAGCCGGTCTCGGGGGAACTCCCATCTGCTGGCATCGTAGGGCAGGCGCTCACAACGCTCATCCAGGGGGAGCTCGTCGGGGTCCATGACAATGGACAAGTAGCCTGTCTTCAGTTGCTCGCCACTGGCCTGGAAAGCATCACTCCTTCCAGTCACACATGCTCTACTGTTTGGCTGTTGTTCTGTGTGCTTGTTATTGTTTATGGGAGCCTCATTCCTGTGTCTCACTTTCCAGTGAAACTCAGGGGCAGAGAGGAGTCCTATTGTACTCCTGCTTCCAGGGTCCCCTTACCCCCAAAAGAGCTCAGAATTAAATTTTGGAATCTTAATTGCACTAGACAGTGCAAGCCAGTTTCCCCTCTGGTGGCTTCCAGCAATTAAAGCCCCGAGGTTTAGCCAAGAGAAAGTGGGCAAGAACGTTATTATATTGAAATTAAAATATGCCTATTGAGCCAATAACAATGGGAAGAAACAACTCAAAGAGTACTGTCAGCTTTCATTAATCATGAGAACCAACATGCATGGGCCAGAGGGAAATGCCTGTGTTACCCGCTTAACGGTCCGCAGGACGATGACGAGAAGAAGCCAGAAGAACATGGCGATCACAGCGGTGCCCACGAGAATGATGACCTCCAGGTTTGTTTTCTCCTGGGCACCTGAAAGGCACCCTGAAATGAACGTCCGCAGCCAGAAACATATTCCTTCTGACACAATGACCAACGCTAGCACTAAACCAAGCTCTCAAGCCACCCAACCTGGGATGGCTCTGGAGTGTAACAATCACACACCCTCAATGGGATGTTGTCTATAGGACTCCCGGTGGAAAATTTAAAAGCTTGCAAAACATTGCCCATGAAAGCCTCCAGCAATAAAATTCTAAGGTAATTAAAGACAGAAGTATTTGTGAAGTTGTCATGTCTTAAAGACAAACACAGAAAGTGCTTAAAAGAAGAGGAGTCAAGGCTGCTCAGCCTGTAATCCCAGCACTTTGGGAGGCCGAGGCCAGCAGATTGCCTGAGCCTGCAGGTTTGAGACCAGTCTGGGCAACGTGACGAGACCTCATCTCTACAATAAATCAAAAATTAGCTGGGCATGGTAGCATGCACCTGTAGTTCTGGCTACTTGGAAGGCTGAGGCAGAAGGATCGCTGGAGCCCAGCAGGTCGATGCTGGGGTGGCCATGAGCATGCCACTACACTCTAGCCTGGGCGACAGAGTGAGACTCCAACTCAAAAAAAAAAAAAAAAAGAAGAAGAAGAAGAAGAGCAGTCTATTTATTAATTTTTTAATTTTTTAGAAACAGGGTCTGGCTCTGTTGCCCATCCTGGAGTACAGGGTGTGATCATAGCTCACTGTAGCCTCCAACCACTAGGCTCAAGCGATCCTCTCACCTCAGTCTCCCAAAACACTGGTACTACAGGAGCACACCACATCTGGCTAATATTTTTGGTTTTTGTAGAAGCAGGGTCTAATTATGCTGCCCAGCCTGGTCTCAAACTCCTAGCCTCAAGGGATCCTCCCAACTCAGCTCCCAAAGTTCTGGAATTATAGGAGTGAGCCACCATGCCCAGATCCGGAAGAGCAGAATTGATGGAAAGGAAACAGATCATGTTCTTCAAAGCAGAAAAGCATTTATATTTGGGGAAAACAAAAGTCTGGCTTTATCAGTGCTTTGATCTGGAAAGAGTTTGGGAAAGGATCACATATACAACCTATCTGTTTCCAACCTGACGACCATGCACCTACCAGCAACCTCAACCCTATCAGTGACCACATGCCTACCAGGGACCACACACCTACAGGTGACCATGCCCCTACCAGTGACCACACCCCTACCAATGACTGTGCCCCTACTGATGATCGTGAGCCTACCAGTGACCATGTCCCTATCGGTGACCATGTCTCTATCAGTGACCACATGCCTACAGGTGACCACATGCCTACAGGTGGCCACACCCCTACCAGTTACCATGCCCCTACCAGTGACCCCTAAGAAGAGGTGAGGCAAGTACCAAGAGAAGTCAGGCATCATTGCCAGAATTCGCCCTAAACATGGGTCCCTTGAGAGCGGCAAAGCCGCACAGCTCCTGAAATCTTTACTTGCAAGTGTGGCTTATGAAACAGTCATAAGCCTACATATGTGAAAGCATGTCAGTGTACCTGGATGCCAAGACTTGGAAAATGCCAGATTTCACCTCTCTGCTGCCTACACACCCAAGTTGCCTTTCATATTGAGAAAAGAATCAAGACTTTTCCATTTCAGGAAAGCAATGGTCAATTGTTCGCAAGAGAAACTGAATAATCTTCAGTCCATTAAATTTTTGCATCCTGTGGCTGTCTGGACAGCACTGGCCATTGTGATTAGGCAGCGATTCCAACGTTTCTCCAAATAAATCTGAAGGCGCCATTTCCACAAGCTGATTGAGCCATTCACACCAGGACAGAGGGAGTTAGGGGCAGGGGAGGAGAATGTTCATCCTGGCCAGCCAGGAATCATCCCTCAGTGAGAACCGCAGGGACAGAAATATGATGAGGCAGAATTAAAGTCACATGAAAGAGGTGCCCCAGCTGAAAGAAGGCACGCGTACCAAAGAAAAGACACCAAAACCAACCCTAGTCTTCCCAGAGTGCATGCATGGGCCCGGACGCCAGCTAACCCAAGACCCACCCAAGGTCAGCAGCCCCCACTGACCTTCTATCAGGAAGAACGTCTCCACCTTGGTGCAGCCCAGTGCGCTGCATGCCTGGCAGGTGTAGAGGCCCTCGTCCTCCTTCCTCACTCTACGAATGGTGAGGTTCCGGTTCCCATCCTTCAGCACGATGCCTAAGAGGGGGGACGCAGCAACTCTCAGGATGATGTGGTCCGAGGCCTTCCTCAGAAGAATTCTAGAATACAAGTACTGCCCTTGCGCATGAGCTGTTCTCTGCATGCACTCTGCAGAGTCACAGGGTCCTGCTGCAGCTGGTCTCCCTTGTGGCTCCCACAAGAATGCCACAGGCTCTAAGGAGCCCACTCCAAGTCTACACAATGAGCCTGACCAGGGACACAAATCAAAAAAAACATCCCTGGAAAAAGCCTGCCACCAAAGGGAGATAGACATGGCCCATGTACCTGAATCTTCCACGAGGGTTTCGTTGTCTTTAAACCAAGTGATCTGCGGAGGGGGGTTCCCAGATGCTGTGCAGGAAACCTCAATGGTTTCACCGATGCTGGTCGTCTGATTCCTTAAACTTCCCGTGATCATAGGCGCCACACGCTCTAGTCACAGAAAGGGAAAGTCGCAGAACACGTGGTCAAAATTTGCAGAATGGTTTTAAGCTTAGCAAACTTTTCAACAGTTTAAATTTTATCAACAGCAACCTGTTGACTAACTGAGCTGAAAACACACAGAAGTGGAGAGAACCACTGGCTACCAGGTAAAGTTAAATGCAGTAAGTCAAGATGGCTTCAACAGATGGCAGTATCTTTGAACACTCATCTTAGTGACTCCTGCTGGTCCATGCCACAGAATCAAGGCTCAGGGTCACCTTTAAGAATTTTTCCTCCAATCAGATATGGCCTTCCCAGGGGAAAAGATTCTCCCCATGAAAGTTGTAGCCTCTTGCCTGGGCAACATAGTGAGATCTCATCTCTACAAAAAGTTAAAATATTATCCAGGTGTGGTGGCATGCACCTGTAGTCCCAGCTACTCAGGAGGCTAAGGTGGAAGGATTGCTTGAGCCCAGGAGGTTGAGGCTGCAGTAAGCCCCGATTGTGCCATTGCACTCCAGCCTGGGGGACAGAGTGAGACCCTCAAATTTAAAAATATAAATAAATAAATGTTGTAGCCAAGAAAATCCTAGAATTCTGCCATATTTCTCTAGGAAAGTATCAAAGTATAATTCAACAAAAGATGCCTTTATTCATTTGACAATTTTCACAAAACTTGTTTTAATGATTTCTGCTCCTCACTATCAATCTTAAGTGGTGGGCAGAATAGAAATAGCATTATTTTATAGATGAGCAACTGCATTCTGGGGGGATTAAATAACTTGTCCAAGTCCCCGTCACTATATAAACAGTTGAACTGTTAACCACATCTGGTGGTTAAAAGACCAGTCCAGTGCTACTTCTACTTAAACACAAACAAATGATACCTGAGGGAAGTCCCAGACTTAGAGAGAACAAAGCCCATGAGCATTTGCCCAAATGTGCAGAAGCACCTGCACTTTGCCCTTTCCTCAAACCATTCAAATACTGTGGAAATATCTTGTCCAAGCCAACTGGACACCAAAAGGACTCATGATGAAAACATGAACACAAGCAAAATGAGGCCACCTCACTGTGGACATGCTGGGAGTTAAGCATGTGTCCTGGACTCCAGCCTGTGTCTAAGAATAAATTTTAGTAAAACAACGACATAGACTTTAGGGAAGCAAACAAACCTGTGAGCACACATTTCCTGGGCACGGCAGGGTCAAGAGCCCCCTTCACTCATCTTTCTGAATTCATCCATGACCTTGAAACCAGACCAGCCACCAGTGTCAACGGGAAATACACGGACACCTATGTGATGTGATTTGAGGGGTACTGGGGATGGCCTGACCCTGAAATAGCTCTTCCTCTGACACCTGAATCTTAAAACCAGCAAACCTTGTGCTAGTATCTGTTGGACAATACCTCTTAAAACATGTCAGGGCTTCTGAGGAAGACGTTATTCCTTGAAATGTTAGTAAAAACTCCCCTGGTCAGTTCCCCTTCCTAACAGTAAACAACAGAGGACACATCCCGCAGTGAGAACTGCAGGTACGGAAATGTGACAAGGCAGAATTAAAGCCACGTGAAGGTGTTCCAACTCAAAGAATGCATGCGTACCAAAGAAAAGTCACAAAAACTGCCTCTAGCCTTCTCAGAGTGCACGCATAGACCTGGACTCCAGCTAACCCAAGACCCACCTGGGGTCTGCGGCCCCCACCAACCTTCTATCAGGAAGAACGCCTTCTAGGAACCAGGAAGATGCCTTAAAAGGAGGAGAAAATGGAGAGAGATAATGGCACAAAGAGAACTCCCTAAGTTGGTCTAATTTCCCCAAAGACAGCTGTGGCTGGCCAGCTTTGCACAAGGCACAAGATCAGGCAAAGTGCAGAGAGTAGCCCCATGGGGATCTGAGAGCCATCTGCTTGCTAAAGTGACCATGTCACTGACCTTGAACTCTGCTGGAGCCTAGAAATGGCTACATATGGGCAGTGAGTATAGCATCTTCCCACGGACTCTTCTGGGTCCTGCACCCAGCCCATCATCCCTCCCCTCACACAGCTGCCATCTCACTGAGCACCTAGTACTGGTGACGGTGCTCCAAGACCAGAGATGTGGCAGGGAGCAACACAGAGAAGGTCTCTGTCCTCAGCGACACAGAGGCCTTGCCATGCGGAAGGCCCGGGGCCACCTGTGCTCTCCTCTTGTCCGCTGCCACCACAACAAGCTTCCAGCTCTCGCCCAACTCACAGCGAGCACTCCACAACTATGTGTCCACTCAAATAAGCAGATGCCCAAGAGAAGGCAGCTAATCCCTTGTATATACTAGTGAGAACATACTAGTGAGCCCATACAGTGAGCGCATACATACTAGTGAGCATATACATACTAGTGAGAACATACAGTGAGTACACACTAGTACACACACCCCACCATCAAGGCTGGAAAGGGCTACACTGTCTTCTCTTTCTAATGCACCATTTTATCATTATTAATTTCTTTCCGCCTCCAGAACTCCCCACAAACCAGCTAAGGTGCCCGTCCACTTCCTGAGGGCAGCACCTGGAGGCACTCCATCTGGGCATTCCCCTGCCTTGGGACAATGGCCTAGAGCCCTCCCTACCTAGGACTGTGAGCCGCCTGACCATGCAACGACTCTTCTTGGTCTTCCTGTCCTGAGCAGAGCAAACATAGTCTCCTTGGTCCTGCAAGGACACATTCTGGAACTCCAAGATCAAAACATCACTGGTGCCATTGGAGGACAGGGTGGCATTCAGTTTCCAGAGAGCATCCGGGTTCCTGCAGACAGGTGCAGGTGGCTCTCCTGCGGGGCCAGACAGTGCCTGCGGGCCAAGCTTGTACCACGTGAGGTTTTCTAACGTTGTCCTGTCGGCTGTGCACCACAGCGATGTGTGCTCCTGCTCGGTCGGCTGGGGGCTGGGTTGCAGAGAAATTTCGGGACCCCCTGAAATGCAAGGCCTTGGTTAGAGGCTGGAGGTTCACTGCTGTGCAGCACACCCATCTTCTTGCTGCTTTCTGACCCTGAAAGCCCCGAGAGAAGGGGAGGCCCAGCAGTCCCAGAGGATGCATGACAAGGAGCTGCCAAACTGGATGGCTCAGATCCCAAGATGTACTATTTGGCCAAAATGTAAGTGCATTTCACCAGATATTGATCACATCTTCACAATTTTAAACACAGTGTTTAAAACAAAAATTTTAAAAATCCAAAGCAGAGTATTGATTCATAGCATAGAATTCTAATAACTAGCTCCTTGCTGACACATAACACTCAGTGATATTAAAGCTATGCTTATCCCAACTAGTTAGCCCCAACTGAAACGTTTCAGTGCAGTCAACTAGGGCTTATCCATAAACTAAGGTGCATAGGCAAAATCCGCAGTGTTGGAGAACCCGTAACAGTCACCCTGCCTCTAGAAAGCCCACCTCTACCACACAGCAACAAACCCACCAGTGTGTACTGAAGCCAACAAGCCATGCTCTGTGCAGACCCATGACGGCAACAGGAACATTGCACAGAACATGCAGTTTACAGTGACTGTGAAACCATCCTCTCTCCAGTGAAGTTGGAGCTTGAATTCATTAGCAAAAGCATCAATTACCAATCCACATCCCTTCCTAGACGTGGGCCACGGACACAGATGCCAAGACCCAAAGCGAGTAACACAGCCCATTACCTGCCCTGTGAGTGGCCCAGCCTTGTAGACGTGGGCCACAGACACTGATGGCAAGAACCACAGGGACTGACATAGCCCAGTACCCGCCCTTTGTGACCCAGCCTCCTAGATGCACACCATGGATACAGATGGCAAGGCCCAAAGAGAGTAGCACAGTCCAGCATCCACCCTGTGAGTGACACAGCCCACCCTCCAGAGAAGGGGACTCACTGGTCACGTGGAAGGAAATAACCCTTTCTCCTCTCCCAACTTTGTTGACTGCTTCACACTTGTACAAAGCTGACACATTTGCTGCCTGGATGACGAGGGTACTCACAGTCTGTGGGAGAAAAACAAGCCCAGCTCTCAACAATGCAGGCTGCCTTGTGCACGTGCTATCAGCCTAGAACTCAGCCTCCACAAATGCTCCCACCTGCCTGTGCCAGCCCCATGCTTGTACTGACCACTCTCTCATCTATGCAATTACACATTGCATGTCCCTTACCCAAAATGCTTGGAACCAGAAATGTTTCGGATTTTGGATTTTTTCAAATTTTGGAATATTTGCATGATACACTCACCAGCTGAGTACCTCTAATGCCCGAGTCTGAAACCTGAAATGCTCCAAAAAGTATTTTATTGAGTACTGTGTTTTCACTCCCAAAGTTCCCGATTTTGGAGCATTTCAGATTTTGGATTTTCCAGTTTAAGATGCTCCCTCTGTAAAATTCTGCTGCTGTGTGGCTCACATGATATACAAAAAGGTACCAGAAACACTGAAATTAATGATGTGTTTTCACATAACATGATGCCAGTTCCCATTTTCATATGTATGAAATCAGAACCACCTTCTTCAGATGTGCAAATTAACCATCACAGGTGCTCCATTTTTCTCCGATAAGCTATCAATAAGTTGGTGGACTGCTGAAAGTCAGTGGTGTTTTCAAACTGACCTAATATGCTGGTGTTTTCTAATACACATTGTCTGATTATTAATCTGCAATGTGGCTCACATATTATTGTACCACTCCCACATCCTTCCATTAAAGAGAGATTTTCATATTTAAAAACTTCAGACTCACTTTGTGCTTTCCTTCAATGAGGGCAAACTGATTCTTTTTGACTTCCAGCTTATTCCCCGCCTGAAAGTCCTCCACACGTCTCCATTCTTTACAAGTGTCCAGGCTAGTCCCTGAGATGGCTTGGCTATAAAAAAGCAATAACAGATCATGCTGTGATTTACTTTTCTTTAGTTCAAATCACTAGTGAGGAAAAACTTCAGGCTTTGGTCATTCTGTTCTTAGAAATCACTTTCAGTGCAGCCTACCATGTTACAAGGCTTGGTGCCAATTAAAAACAGGCCTTGGCAATGAAGGAAAGGCTCTAGGTAGATTCATTCAGGATACAGGAGGGAAGCGGCTATTCTGGGAACAGCCTTCATTCACAAATTGTAGCGACAAGACAATTCAGGTTAATTTAGTTCAGAGGAAGGCAAGGAAACTCGAAGCCACTGGGCTTCTCAAAGTCATTTCTCTGAGACCGCAGTCTCTGAGAAGGAAACATCCACAGCTGAGGAAGAAGCCAGTAGTAGCCACTTGAAAACAACAACAGGAAGAAGACTACTAGGGTGGTGGTGGACTGGCTGCTGTTGTGTTTTTCCCTGAGGATGTCTGAACTTTTGTTAGAATGTGATAAGCTGTGCTTAGGACTCCGAAGCTGAGGCTGGGTCCACCTCTGCCTCTTTGCCATCACTACTTCCTGTAAGATGAGCCTTCCCATAGACAATAAGGAGCAATGTGGTATTCGCCAGTTGATGGGTATGAGGAGAAACCTAAGACTGTCAGTAAGGAAACTGAGCTGCAGTTGGAGAAATGTGATCAGGGCTAGCCTGGGAGCCTGCAGTTAGAGACACATGATCAGGGCTAACGTGAGACCCTGCAGTTGGAGAAGCATGATCAGGGCTAACATGAGACCCTATAGTTGGAGAAGTGTGATCAGAGCTAACCAGGAAACCTGTAATTGGAGAAGCGTGATCGATTGGGGATAGCCTGAGAGCCTGCAGTTGGAGATGCGTGATCAGGGTTAACCTGGAACCTGCAGTCGGAGAAGCATGATCGGGGCTAACCTGGGAACAAGCAGTTAGAGAAGCATGATCAGGGCTAGCAGAAGACCCTGAAGTTGGAGAAGCATGATCAGGGGTAGCTCGAGATCCTGCAGTTGGAGAAGTGTGATCAGGGCTAACCTGAGATCCTGTAATTGGAGAAGCATGAGCATGATCGGGGCTAACATGAGACCCTGCAGTTGGAGAAGCATGATCAGGGCTAACCTGGAAGCCAAGAGTTGAAGGAATGTGATCAGGGCTAACCTGATACCCTGCAGTTGGAGAAGCATGATTAGGGCTAACCTGGGAACCAGCAGTTGGAGACGCATGATCCTGGCTAGCCTGGTAGCCTGCAGTTGAAGAACCGTGATTGGGACTAACATGAGAGACCCTGCAGTTGGAGAAGTATGATCAGGGCTGGCCTGAGACCCTGCAGTTGGAGAAGTGTGATCAGGGCTAGCCTGGGAGCCTGCAGTTTGTAGAAGCATGGTCAGAGCTAGCCTGAGACTCTGCAGTTGGAGAAGTGTGATCAGGGCTAGCCTGGGAGCCTGCAGTTTGTAGAAGCATGGTCAGAGCTAGCCTGAGACCCTGCAGTTGGAAAAGTGTGATTGGGGCTAGCCTGAGACCCTGCAGTTAGAGAAGCATGCTCAGGGCTAGCCTGGGATCCTGTAGTTGGAGAAGTGTGATTAGGGCTAACCTGAATGCCTGCAGTTTGAGATGCGAGATCAGGGCTAGCCTGGGAGCCAGCAAGTGGAGAAGCATGCATCAGGACTAACCTGGGAGCCTGCTAGCTAATAGTGAGGGTGCATGTCCCAAGCAAAGACATCTCCTAACACTGAGGACACAGAGAAGGATGGAGGGTGCTTCAAAGTACACCTGGAGGGAACAGGGATAGCCATTAGGGATAGCCTTCTTGATGAGAGTGACTTCCTATCACAGCTTGTCTGCCAGAAAGACCACGAGACTGGGAAACCTACATAGCCTACTCACCTGGGCCCACCAGGGCACTCTTCCTCCCACTGCCAGTACCAGCGGATGTGGTGCGGGGGAGGAACAGCGTAGATGGTACACGTCAGCGTCTGTGTGGTGCCATACTGGTAGGAATCCATCGGAGAGATCAGAGACTTCTCACCAATCTGAGGTGGGACTGAAGGCAGGAAAAACAGTTTATGAACTGTCAGTCAGTCAGTCAGTCTTCAAGAAGAAAGAAAGCAGAGGTTTTCGGCAATCAAAGTCAACGGTTTTTTGAGCATATGATCTTGTCCCCACTTTATAAAAGAACATGTAGACTTCAAAACAGGAGATTGATTTCGCACAAAAGCAACCATAAGCTAGTAACAACAATAAACAAAAAAGCTGAGTTTCTTCATGGGCATCTAACAACCCCAGGCCTCAGGCTTTCTCGTCCATATTACAGAGACAGTTCCACCCATCCTGCCCAGCCCACAAGATTAGGGCATGGCTGTAGAGAGAAAGTAGCTGGATAACACAGCACACGTGTGTGTGGTATGCCAAGCACTGTTCTAAGGGCTTTGTATTGATCAATTTGCTTAATTCTCACAACCTGTTACAGCCTCCCACTTCCCACACGAGCAAAATGAAGCGCAGACAAGTGAGACAACTTGCCCAAGATCACCAGCTAACACCAGCAAAACTCGGAGGGACCCAGGACACAGGCTCTGAAACTGGCACACGTGCCTTAGAAAGGAAGGAGGGGGCTGCCCAAGACCATACCCACTTCCCCCTGCCTCCCCTTCCCTTCCTCCCCTCTTTTCTCCCTTCTTCCTTTCTTCTTTTTTTTTTTTTGTCTCCAGAGTCAACTGCGCAAAACTATTTCCTCTCCACTGTCAGCCTCCAGCCTCAGATGAGGCTTTCAGGACTTGACTTGGTGTTGCTGGGTGGGTGCCAGAGTGAGTTCAGCGTTTAGTGGTTCTTGAACTGATGGGATGGGGCATTCCCTGCCTACGTTTCTGCCGTTGTTTTGCATTCATTTCTTCTCCCAGCCCATGTAGATGCTTTCCAGTTTCTTTCCCCTTTCATCCCCTTGCCCTATGCAGCTCTAAGTGATCTTTCTGGACCTGTTATCATAAAAATACTCCGCGAAAACAAAACGAAGCCTAAGCCCTGCAGATGTGCAGGGAGTCTCAGGACACGCAGGGAAGTGTCTTCATGTCATGAGAGAACACCCTGAGGTTTTAATATGCCATGTCAGTAGGGAAAATAAAAAATGACAACACAAAAATGCTTCTCCAGCTGTTTGCAGTAAGATATTAATGGATTTCCTTAGCATAAAAAAATGTGCTCTAGCCAAATAAGTTTGTTAAGCCCTGAATACTCTATGTCTCTGCCCCCGGGGAATGGCAATACACATGAGCATATTAAAGGTTCTAAGAAGTCCTGCAATAAAGAAACCTGTTTTACATCACCTTGGCACCTCCCACACTCCTTGCCAATGGCATGTTTCTCCCCCCATCCAAAGACTTCTGTATAGCTTCCAGTTTGAGAAAAGAAAGTTCAAATCATCCCTAAATCAAAAACTTACTATCTTTCCTTTAAAGACTCAAAAACAAATCCTGGACTCCTGTCCAAAAAAGAAGAAAGATTCCCCACGCCAGCGGCGCCAACTTCAAAAGCCTTTGGCGCTGGAGACTGCCTGTGTCTCCGTGATGCGTCAACTGCAACCCTGGGCTGGAAGCCTCATGCAGAGTCCGGGATGGTCTCACATCTGCACACCAGGTGTGCGCCCTGCGAGGGGTGTGCCGACCACACAATCCGGCTGGCGACAGTCCCTGCGGGCACTGCTGGCATTTGGCCGGGGCGTCGCCATCCCCTTTAACCCTGCGTCTGATGACCATGTACTCTCTCATGTGGCCTCTTCCACACACACGGCTGGAGCACCCATCCCATGCATCATGTCAGTGCCACACCCACATCACGTGTCTACATGGGCCACGGCGAGTGTCAGCCCGGCTGCACAGAACACAGGACAATACCTTCCTCCCCACACTGGGCAGGGGCACCCCAGGCGACTCACCGTACACTACCAGGGCCACCATGTGGCTCTGCTTCTCCTTGGAGACAGGGTTGGTGAGCACCACGGTGTAGTTGCCTGTGTCTCTCTCGCTCACGGCCGTGATGGTCAGCACATGGCCCACTTTGATAGTGTGGTTGGACTCCAGGGGGCTTCCATTCTTGTACCTGTGAAGAAACACTCAAGCATGAGTGTCAAGAAGGGGTTGCTTCCATGGACACCGCACTTCCGTCTACAACCAGCAATTACCATTTTATCTCTGGGGGCGGGTAGCCAAGGCACTTCACCGGGACTCTGACACGCTCCCCCACCGTTGCCTCCACCAGGGACTCCATGCCGCTACCAAAAGCAACAAAAGGCTTTTCTGGGGAAAAAAAAAAGTAATGATGCTCATAAATGTCAACTTATGGAAAACAGTGGCTGGGTTTGGTTTTCTATTTCCCGTGAAGAGCCAAGGGCCATGGGGTCCTCAGCATCTGCAGTCCCGAGAGTCCCTGCACTCCCTTCCCAGAGTCACATCCAGCCTCCCCAAATTCCCTCCCTACCAAGCTCCCTGCAAGCCTAGGTTGCTGGGTCTCAATCCAAGTGCTAGCTTCTCTGCGCAGTTTCCTCCAGGTCCCAGGAGCCCACAGGGGCTTCTTCCCATCAGCTCCTAGGTCTCCCTCAACATGCCTCCCCCTGCCGTATGCTGGCACCCACCAGATTCCGTCCTCATGCCTCTTCTCTGTACCTGCACCTGCCTCCAGCCTCAGGTTTAAAACACCATTTACAGACCTCCTATGCTTATACCTCCTGCACTGACTTCTCCGAGCTCCAGGCTTTATACAAAGATCTCCCTTGGCATTCAGTAGGCATCTCCCATGAACATACCCATGCTGTTTCCCTGAACCTCATTCCCCTCAGCACCTCTCACCAGTCGATGGCACCACCACCACTCCACTGCTCACGTCAACCCTCTGGGGTTCTCCTCCACTCTCTCCCTTGCTCCCCACAACCAAGAGTGGATCAACAGATCCCCGCAGGCTCCCCTCACAAAGCACATCCAGAACCGGGTCATATCTCAGCACCTCCACCCCTGCTGCCCATGTCCGGGCCACCCCACTTACACCTAGGTTTCTGCACTCTGCCTCCTAACCAGCCTCCCTGCTTTTGTCCTTGCTTCGCTTAAGTACCCTGGGTGAGAGTAATCCTATAAAAACACAGGCCAGAGCACCGCCTCTCTCTGCTCAGAACCCTTTGATGCATTTGGATACCATAAAATCCCAAATGTCTACAAGGCCTGTCAGTAGGATGCCATATAAATTGTCATCTAAATTGAGACATGCAGGTGAATGAGAGTAAATAGAAAATTAAGGTGATTTACTCAAAGTCCCACAGAAAGTAATCCTACCCCAATTCAATTATAGTTGGCCCTGGAACGGCACGGGTTTGAGCTGCAGGGCCCCACCTATGAGCAGATTTCCTTCTGCCTCTGCCACTCCCGACAGCAAGACCAGTCCCTGCCCTGCCTCCTCCTCTTCAGCTACTCAACATGAAGACAACAAAGATGAGGACCTCAGGAGGATCCACTTCCACTTCATGAATAGTAAATAAATTTTTCTTCCTTGTGATTTTTGTAATAGCAGTAGGCTATTAGTAGCCAAGTTTTGTGGGAGTCAAAAGTTATGCATGAACTTTCCACTGTGTGGGGGTTCAGTGCCCCAACCCGAGCAATTCAAGGGTCAACTATACATTGCAAAATGTTTCCCCAATTTGCAAAGCTCATGCTTACTCGCAGGCCTTTCAGCCCTGCAACAAAATGGAATTTTCAAAGCTGCCCTAGGTAATAGCACTCTACTTAGGACAGAACTCATTATAAGAGCAGCACAACTGCAACAAATACTAGTCAGTGAGCACTTACTATATGCGTTTCATCTCGTCCTTAAGGCTGAGATTTGAACCCAAGTCCTTGACTGCAAAGTGAGGCTCTTGACCTCCATGTCATGCAGCCTTCCTTGCAGGAACTCAAAAGTGTGTTCCAAAAGAACAAAATAGGAACCACTGAGTCACCTAGATGTGTCTAGACTGTCTCACTTATGGAGGCTCAGAAGAATGTCCATGGAGACCTTGGCTTACCATGGACTGTGACGAACGTGCTGTTCCTCCTGGTCATAAGCCCACTGGACGCTGCACAGGTGTAGCGTCCCTGGTCACTCCGGGTGACACTATCGATGGTCAAGGTGCTCAGAAACCTCTTCATCTCACTCCCAGACTGGGTTTTGAGATCCCGGTTTACAAGTTTCTTGTGCTGATGCTGAAAAAAGAGTCTCCTGAACTTGTGAGGCCCAGTACAACCTTGTCCAATAGCTTCTCGTTACTACAAAATTAAATCTTGGCCCTTGGTGGACATTATGTGATGACAATAACAGGGACTCCAGAGCTTTTAACATCATGCAGACAACAAATGCATTTGATTTCAGTAGAAATAAATGGAACCAACTACATAGGGGCTTTTAAAACCTCACACAGTGAGAATAAGATGGAAAAAAATGGCAGAAACACAAGCAGATGTGTCTACTGTTTAAGAAGAAGGGTATCTCATGCCACCTTTTAAAGAGAAATTCCCTGGAAGGGAAAATAGGCCAAATGCTTTGGAGAATAACGAAGTAGAAATACCTAACGTGGAAAGATATGATCATAAGAGAAAACAAGTATGTACAGCCTGATTGTAGCAGAGGGACAGAATTCCTGGCAATAGTCTTTTTGTGGGTGCTGTCTGCTCTGCAGCTCTGTTACTGCGTGTGTGTGTGTGTGTGTGTGTGTGTGTGTGTGTGTGTGTGTGTGTGTGTGTGCACACGCTTTAAGGCCTATACATTTTATCTGGCCAGAGAGGCCCCTATCTCCCAAGCAAACTCTGTTGAGGCTTATTATCAAAGCATTTGGCGGTCTGGCTTGGAATTGTTAGTGTTACCTTCAAAGAAGGGTATTCCCAGTTGAAGTCAATCCCCACGTTCAGCTCAGTCCTGGCTGTACAATTTAAGACAAGCTTCTCTCCAACAGATAGCTCGACTCCATGGGGCGGGCTCAGAACCACATCATAAATCTTATACCCTGGAATAAGTTAGTGGGAAGAACAGAAAGTAAGAGAAAAAACAAACCTATAACGTGGCACAGTTTTTCAAAGCGATGTGTCTTTGAAATGTGCCACATCGTTTTTCCCTGAGGCCTCACTGACACTTGGTAGTGCGCAGGAAAATTCCCACAGCAGTGTACAGAGAACAGTCTTCAGGAATCTCAGACGCTGCAGCCCCGCAGATAAAAAAGTACTAATGTGCATGACCTAGAGGTCAGCAGTCTGTTACTGGATCACTGGGGCCCGGTCAGGAATTGCTGGACTTTCCATAAAATAGGCATGATGAAGAGTTGATACCAAGCAACGCACTGAGTAGTAAACATTCCATGAAGTGTGTTCTAGTGAGCCCATTCTTGTTCACCCTCGGTTGTGGCAAGAAAGGAGAGAAAGGCAAGGGCATGTGGATATATTTTTGCAGAAAAGAGTAGCTGTTGTGAACTGCCCAGCACCGTGCCCTGAGTTAACGCCTTTTTCTGTAACCCTGTGCTTCCTGTGACTCTTAATTTCCAAGACCTCAATATAGGGCATTACTCTATTGTCTGATATCAATGGTTTGGAAAGAAACTGTCCTCTTACCCATAACCACGACGATGTACATGATAGACTGGTAACTCTCATCATTAACCTTAGCTTCACAGAAGACCATGCCAGCATAGCTGATCAAATAGCTGGGAATAGTGAAGCCCTTCCTGCTGTCCCAGAAGATTCTGTTACCATCAGGAACAAATCTCTTCTCTGGATACCTCTGGATTGTAAAAAATAAAGAGCAGATATTAATTAGCTAATTAATTTTTAAAGAATCTTCAGGCTGGGCTCAGTGGCTCAGCCTGTAATCCCGCGCTTTGGGAGGCCGAGGTGAGTGAATTGCCTGAGCCTGCGGGTTCGAGACCCGCCTGGGCAATTTGAGGAAACCTCATCTCTACAGTAAATCAAAAAATCAGCTGGGCGTGGTAGCGCATGCCTGTAATTCCGGCTACTCAGAAGGCTGAGGTGGAAGGATTGCCAGAGCCCAGCAGGTTGAGACTGCAGTGGCCGGGCCACTGCACTCCAGTCTGGGCGACAGAGTGAGACTCCGACTCAAAAAAAAAGAATCTTCAAAGAATCCAGACTTTTATTGAAGCAAGTAACCTACTCGAATTGATTTTAAGCCTGAAGGTCTATATTTAATGCTAGTCTTTATTGCTATTCTTCTTTTTTGAGACAGGGTCTCACTCTGTCACCCAGGGTGGAGTGCAGTGGCACAATCATGGCTAACTGCCTCAAACTCCTGGGTCTCAAGCCCTCCTCCCACCTCAGCCTCCTGAAAGAAATATCAAATATCTAATCCAATACCAAAAGTGAAAACCACATACAATAATCACTAAAGAATTCATCTTCTTTTTAAGAATGAAAATTGGTTTTATTCATTGCCATTTGACCCTTCCTAAAAGATCTTTGAAATGCATCATGGGCATTATGTTATAAACAGGTTACTCATCTTACTATCAGCTTAAAGTTATAAAAACTTGAGATGATGGAAGAAGGTGTAACTTACTGCACAAAGTGACACATTGAGGTTTGAGGTGGACCCAAGACACGGAATCACCACTGTTTTGTTTTTGTTCTCAGTAATGTACACAACTCCATGTTGGTCGCTAACAGATGCAATAAATGGAGATCTGTAATCTGGAAGAAAATGTTGTTCCACTAGTGAGTTAATGGCATTCACTAGAAAAGTTGGTCACCTTTCAGGTTCGTAAACTCTACCCAGAGGAGTGAACAATTGGAAGTGACACCTCACACAGGCAGAGGCGTCCACAGGCTCGTCTGCCAGTAGACATGTGGCTCCAAGGCTAGGCTACAGGAATGGTGTGTGTGTGTGTGTGTGTGTGTGTGTGTGTGTGTGTGTGTATGAAAAGTGGAAAAACTCTCAATTGAGATCGCCTCCTTTCACAAGGTTTATTGACAAGTAGAATATTTATTATAGGTTCCACATTTTAATAGGCTAATCATTATATATATTTTTTGAGTTGGAGTCTCACTGTCACTCAGGCTGGAGTGGAGGGGCATGCTCACAGTCACTGCAGCCCCGACCTGCTGGGCTTAGATGATCCTTCTGCCTCAGCCTTCCAAGTAGCTGGATGACAGACATGCAACACCACACTCAGCTAATTTTTTTATTTATTGTAGAGACGAGGTCTCACCAATTTGCCCAGACTGGTCTCAAACCCTGGGCTCAGGCAATCGTCTTGCCTCCACCTCCCAAGGTGCTAATTTTTTTTCAAAATAAAGGATCATATTTACTTTAAAATGTAAAGCTAAATCTATACATATTATCGGCAAGTTGTATTGATTTTAAAAATAATTCATGTTCTCTCTCTTTAGGTAAAAAATGTAAATGCCATGAAAATAAATAAATGGATCCCAAAGGATCTTAAGATCAACAGGAAATAGCTAATAGTTTTTGAATTCAGTTATTCAAGAGAACATTTTATGTGAGCACTTTAAGACTGTGAAGACTGGAGATAATGATTCTTCATAAAAATAGTGTTTAACAGTTGCTGCATTTGCTTAAAATTTAGTCGTCATTAATACCTTCAATGACAAAAATCTGAAAAGCTACCATGCCAAAGATGAGAAAAACAACTGAAGAGATTGTAAAGCCATTCCAACTCTATGCACATGTTGCTAATATTCGGCTGCAACCTGTTCCCTTCTCCAGAGATGAAGACAGTGTAGTGTGATGAGGCTTGGAATCTCAGAAACAACATTTCTCAATGCTGTGTCCTATACACCTGATTAAGCATTTCCAGAGCACTTCATGGGGGTCGGTGGAAGCAAAGAAAGAGTTAATTAAGCCAACGGGGACAAAGGCAGCTAATCCCCTGCAACACAGAAGTCTGATTTCCTTCCCAGCTGGAAAGCTCAGAAAAGCAGCCCACCCAGCTCACCACATGCCTCAGCCATTATCTCACGAGGCCAGGGCCCACTTCCTGGCTCCATCAACTGCTGGAGGGAATGGGGTCAAAAGACGAGGGAAACGAGGTGGGACCAGCGAGCACATTAAAGACTGGTCCATAGGGAATATATTAGTGTTTTGTTTTCCCATTGTTCAACTCCATGGACCGCCCAACTCCTAGGACACGGGGCTGAGGCAGGAAGCAGCATTTGATGGTATACCCAAAGATGGGTAGTATACCTGTAAACAGTGCTAGGGGCTGCGACTTCTTCGGACTGCCTGCCTTTCATCCCCGTGTTATGGAATGTTACATAACTTGCTTACAGAGTTAAATTAACCCTTTGACGTAAGACTAAAGCAACCGAGTAAATCAATTCTATTTCAGTATCCCCAGAAAACGGAAATAAACAAAAGAAACACAAACAACCACCCATCCTCTCAAAATAAAATATTTACCATAACTCATGAAATGAATTTTCGCATGTCTCCAAGTTTCCTGACTTGGGGAGAAGGAAATACCAAGATATTATTATGGGAGAGGTTCATCTTGTAGTACTTCCAGACAGGCTGAGAGCAGGAAATCCTTGCAACCTTCCGAGAGAGCCTTGTCTCCCAAGACTGCCAGATCAAAAGGAGCCAGAAACTCTCCTAGATCTGAGCCCTGTCTCCTTCAAATCCTGCAGAGGGAGGAGGAGGGCACAGAATTCTATCTTGGACTGTGCTCACCCTGGGCAAATAATTCTCAAACACCGTGCAATCCAGCGGCACAGCTTATTGTGATCATTTTTCCATCTCACTGACCATATTGCACTATTGAAGTGTGAGTGGAGATAGGCTATGATAATGTGAGATAGTGTGAGTGTTTCTCAAAGCTGATGAAATTCCTGCCCTGCAAAAGTTGTTTCTGGAAGAAAAATCTAAGTCACATTCATCTGCCTCAATCCTCTGAGATGTAGAGAGACATATAAATTGATAAATAAAATGTCTTTAAAAGTTCATCTTCACTGAAAAGTATATCCGGTCAAAATTATATCACATTTCCAAAAATTATATTATAGGTATCTCATTAGTTAAGTCAGGTTTTCATAGGAAAAATAAGGTAGTGTAAGATTTTTGAAACACAAAAGAAAGCATAACTCACTATAAGTGCTGAATAGGCCTGACACTGTATTTTATATGATATGGATGTCAAACTAGCCTCCACGTTGTCAATCCCAAACTGCAAATCCTAGGAAGACATGGCACCTCACCCAGGATCTCAGCCCAAACAAGCAAAGGAAAGGAGCTCTGTCCTCAAAAGGCCCTTTGAAGCAACATCTAGATTTGCACAGGAATATGGGGATTGTTTTTTATAAAGTATAAGTAAGGAAAAAAACGTTCCTATGTATAAAAAACTCAGAGCCCCTGGCATTCCTGCTTCCCGGCATTATTGGGAAAATTTCCCACCCAGCTGTGGATAGCTTATCTCCACAGAAACCTCTCCATAACTCACCCCGAAGTTTCCTTGATTTCAAGAATTTTAGGTTTTCTTCTTAAACATCAGAAGCCTTTTTCCAAGTCTCCATGGTGAACACAGATTTACCTTAGAAACAAAGGTCAGAACCAAACAAACTGGGAAGAGAGACTCACAGGACCCAAGCTCTTGAAAGAAATCAATGAATCCTGTTTCTCAGAGGAACCCTCAGGAGAGAAGAATTTTGTGTAATCCAGTTGGCAAACGGCCTTCGAAGCAAGTCTTTTCTTGTGCTCTATTCTTCTCTGGGCCTATTGTGTTTTATGACTGGTAAGCAGACCGGGGAAATGAGCTTTCTTCCACCACTCACCTTGAACGTAGACATAAATGACCGCCGCCAAGTCACTTTCCCGGTAGAAGCACTTATAGGCGCCGGTGTCGTTTCCAATCACCTTGGGAATCATGAGGGTCTTGCAGAAGAGGCCGTCACTACACTCGGTCACCTCCACCCTTTCCTCAGCGCCACTCTGAATACTGGGCCAAAGCCAGTCCAAGTCCATCTGTCCTCTGAAAAATCAATTCCAGGGAAGCATTAATGTGAAGTGCCATGTTATGAGGCAACTTCTAAGAAAACAGAAAATCTGGTTCTCAAACTCACATAAACTCCTCAACAGATTCATAGCCTTCTACCAACAATGACAGGCTAGATGGACATGTGACCAAAAGCCACAGGCTCAGCTTCAGAAGTCACTCACAGAGAGTCCTAAGCTTTCTATTAATGTGTGCATTCTTTCATTCAACAAATACTTACTAAGTATCTGCTGTGTGCCAAACATTGTTAAGATTGGGGATAGAGTAGTGAACGACTCGGACAAAAATGAATGCCTTTATGAAACCTCAGTTTAACTGGGGGAGACAGGCAATTATAAAGGGGATAAACATATCATATAAAAGATGGTGCTTAGCACCATGGAGGAAAACATGGAAGGTGCCAAGACAAGAGTGGTGTGTTTTGCAGGGAGACGGCTTGATGCAGTGGTCCTATGAACAGCTAGAGGAACAGTACTCCAAGTGGAGAGGACAGTAAGTGGACTCAGGCAAGGCACATCTGGAGGAGTTGGGAGTCATGAGGCTGCCACAGGAAGAGTGGCGAGGGGTACACAGTGAGGTCAGGAAGGAGGGAGGTGGAACCAGAACCCTACAGGACCTGGTAAGGACCCGTAAAACACAGACGATGCCACCACAGCATTCTCTCCTAGGCCCTGAGGAAGACAGTCAACACCAAGAGGAGCATAACAGTGTGACCCTTCATTCAAAGAACTTGAACGTGCCATGGAGTCGCAGTGACATCTGTGAATTTAAATAACCTGGGGCAGTGTGTCTGGAACTAGTAAAGCTACTGAAACAGCAGCTGCCAGGTTCTGTGACCCAGCCTGCTGAGGGGTCTGGGGTCTTCACACTGGCGTCTACAGCAGACCTGTGTCACTCTGCTGAGCACATAGTGTCCACCAGACATGAAGCAATGGCCCCAGCTGGCTGAGCATCTCTGTGGACCCCAGTGCTGTTCTCCAAGGGCAGCATAGCCTCCACCAGCCACAGTATAGCCTTTCACGAGCCCTGAGAAGCCCAGGCCTTTCGTGCATGGTCACTATTTTAAGCCCCAAGGTCTTCTCTCTTTCTTCTGGGGCAGGGGTTAGAAAGCAAATCAGAAGTCCTCTTCTTCTTGTCACAGAGGTCTGTTTCTCCAAATATAAAGAATGATGTCCTGCTTCCAGGAGGGAAGAAGCATTCCAGAGCATCAGGCCAGAACACAAAGCCCATGACCTGCACAGAACCCGCACTCGTAATATCACTGGCTAAACATTAAACTGCCACTGTTATCACAAAATAAAGCTCTTGGAAAGAGCTAATACAATGTTCAAGAGCCACACTGAGTGTAATAGATATGCCCCCAAAGCTTCTCTAACTCCATTCCTTGGGAATATACCCTCAACTTCACTTATTCATTCAATATCTATTGAGTAGGGGTCTACCCTATGCCAGGTGGCTGTATCAGTTACTGATGTACTAGTGTGTGTGTGTGTGTGTGTGTGTGTGTGTGTGTGTGTGGGCAAAATACCAGCAAAATAGTGCATAATTTTTGAGAGACATTTCTCACTTTTTTGCTGTTATATCAGTTCTTAGACACTTCACTACATATGAACAATTACTGCAACTCTATTATGATTCTGCCATCATAGAAATTATTCTTCCCTCAGTGGGCAATGTGTTATTTGACAAAAGAAATCTGGATATAGGATGAATCCGTACCTGCAAGTGATCTGAAGCGTTGTATTAGCCATGATTGTGAGGATGTCTTTCTGTATGTTGAGACTGGGTGGATCAAGAGCAACACTAGGCAAACCTAGAAATGAAGGGAATTACATGAACACCATTGCCACCAAGTTGGCCCCAATAGGAAACACCTTCCATAAACAATGCACATGCTATACTTTAAAAGGCCTCTTCAGCAGTTCATTGTATAAAACTGGGAATTTGCTTTTCACCATGCTCAGTAAAAGTTCACAAGCTGTGTCATAACAGGAAGAATGGGCAGATGGTCATAAACCAGCACAACAGTTCTGAAATCCATGGAGCTGGGGTGGAGTTCCTGTTTTCCCGCACTGCCAACTTCAAGGTCTTACAAAAGGATATGGGACATTGAAACCAAGTGAACCTTCATCTGATGATCTCACTCCCTTGGGAAAGGACCCACTGACATTTCTTGTGAAACATAGGATGCACACATTCGACTAAATTGCTGATGAATGGATCCTTCTGAAAGTGGTTTCTATCCAGCTCATCTGTGTCCCTGGAAGGGGTGCCTGGGCCTGCCTCTGTCTCCTTTATCAGTTTTCCAGGGCACTTCCTCTGAGAACTGAACTGCCGAGGCTGCGATAACGGCTCATACAGGCTGAACATTAAAACTGGGGGTGAGCAGCCATTTTCCAACTTCACACACACATGCATATCCACGCGCTTTTCCTCAGAAAGTAGAATGTAGAGAAATGCAGTGCTAATGAATTACAACTAGGAAGCTCACCATATTCATCAAAGCTCCGGGCTCATCCTGACACCAAGCCTGGAACACAAGAAACTGGACTTTCCTGAAGGGCTATTAACTGGAAAACACCACGAGATGGATTCCTCGCCACAGGCCACCCCTCAGTAAGGTGATCGAGTCCTCTGTCAGCTAAATGCAAAGAGCTATGAGGTGTTGCAACACTCCAGAGATAGAAAAACTGTCCACGATGCCAGGGTCTGAATAGACGCAAAGATCTTCAAACACCAGCTTGAAGACGCACGGATGCTGGGTGAGCACCCCAGTTTCCGAAGTTGCATCAACTGAGAACAAGTGACTCTCTGGGCCTAAACTGCCATGGACCTTGTTGGGCAAACAAGAGAACATACACGACACAAGGGGAAGTGTGGTCACCAGCCTTTGAGCAAATGTCTAGGGCACTGAATCTGTGGGCCCCAGTGTGAGCAGTTGCGGGCAGAAAGAACAATAGGTCTCATCCACCTACACAGATAGGTGTGCTGTGCCTTACCTCTAGATCTGTGGACCAATAGTAGTTAAAAAAAAAAACACAAAAAACTAAGCTACATCAGTAGCTCTCAAAACAAATGGACATTAGTACTGACTTGTGTTTGGGGCAGTGGCTCTTAAAACTTTAGGCCATGACCAAAGATTCTTGGGCCTACAAATCTGCATTTTAACAAGCATTTCAAGTGATCCTATCCCAGACAGTCCAGGAGCCACTCAGACAGTTACTGGTCTGGGTGACCATATTCAGTGAATTAGCATGGTACTTTGTAATATGAAGGAAATGACTGTCCCCAAAGTAAGCAAACAAAAGAGTGCTTAAAAGCAAAAGAAAAGCCTTTCAATAATGCAGGCCCATTTTTCTAAGAAGGGGGCAAAAAAGCAGTTCACATGGATACACACAGACATCAAACCTGACTGGAAAACACGAGGCTGAGAAACACGCGAAAACACGATATACAACTTACACAGCAACCCAGACGAGAAAGAGCCCATCATCTTGTGTGTTCATGTGAGAAAGAACCCGCTACCCAACAAAAGACTCTGGAAGAGCCATCCGACTGCTTTGCTGAGCACATTCTAGACACTTTCCCATGTAGCAAGGTTTGAGGGGGAAAGGGATGCTCTTCACCCCAGGAAGCTAAGACAACACCATTCTCTTCCAGAGCCATGGCTAGAGACAAAACTCTGTTCAACAAGGCTCTCAGTAATAACCTCAAATTCATATCTGTAGACCGACACTCGATTTTTTTGCTCCATTAAACTTCATTCATTTCCACTGGCAAGCCTGAGCTCCAGCCTCAGAAAGTTCTAAAGAAATCACTGCAAGAGGTACATATGCTCTTGCTCCATAAAAAGCCCTTCTATGTTCCAATCCCATAACCAATATTAATTAATTTGTGCACTGTTACCCTTCCAGCTCAAAGACGGGCAGGGAAAACAACGGCGCCTCTGTCCCTGGGATCTGATGGCACCAATTACAGCCCAGTCCAATTAGGCCAGCCACGTACTCAAGGGCAAGCGCGCCATTATGTCCAGGGCCGGGTACTGCTCCCAGGGTTGCTGTTGCACCCGGGCTTAAAAGCCGCTCACTTCTTTGTGGATACAGAACAGCCGCATGCTCCAGACCTTCTTCTCTTCCCATGGAAGGGGGAGAGAGGCCTTGTCCGGGCAAATGAGTGTCCATGGTGGAGCAGCCCTGATGAACCAAGTCATTATTGGGAAAATTCAATACTGTAGACAGGCGACCCTGGTACTGCATGTGAGTGTGGTCTTTTGAGACATGTGATGCTTACTTTTGATATGAGAAACTTTTTTCCCCTGAATTATTTGACTTTTTTATCTTTCTCTGACCCTCTCCCCTCTCTCACCCCCTAAGGGTGGAAATCTGAAAACCAGCAAACAGTGGTTGCAGAAAATAGATACTATCTAGGGGAGAGAGAGGAAGGCAGAGGGAGGAAGAGGAGGAGAGAGAGAGAGGAAGACAGAGAGGGGGAGGAGGAGGGAGAGAGAGGAAGGCAGAGGAAGGGAGGGTAGGAGGGAGGGAGAGGAAGGAGAGAGGAAGGCCGAGGGAGGGAGAGGAGGAGGGAGAAAGACAAGCGGGGGTAGGAGGAGGGGTAGGCGTCCTAGCCGTTAGGCGTGCTGTCCCAGCTGAAGGAGACAGAACCTTGAGGCGGCTGGACAGGAGAAGCGCTGACCAGGCGCCCAGCCCGCAGGGCGGTTCAGAGCGTGAACTCCGAGCTTGCCCCAGGACCAAGGCGATTGGAAAGATGCTCGGCGCTTCGCACAGGAGGTCCCCTGAGGCACCTGGGGACACCGTCGCAGCCCCGAGACAAGCGCCCGCCCCCTCCTCTCAGCGAGGACGGCGGCATCCACACCAAGGAAGGAAAGACGGCCGCACCCTGGGCCCCTCATGGGAGGCGCAGGTGCACTGGGGCCGGGGCGCACGCAGGGCCGGCGGGGCGCAGAGCAGAGCGCAGCGCGCGGGCTGTCTGGCCGCGGCCGGGGTCCCCGGGGTTCGCTCCGCGCCCGTCCTGCCGGGGCACCCTTGCCAGCCCCCAACAGCCCGAGAGCGCGCTCCGCCAAGGTCCCTGTCGGAGGGCAGAGTCGTGGAAAGGAGCGCGGCAAAGGCCCGGGGTCCACCGACTCGCGAGTCATCTCGGGCCCGTCTCTCAGCCTCAGTTTCCCCTCAGGCAATGAAAGAACACGAGTGCCAGTCCCTTCCAGCTCTATCTTCGAGTCAGATCGCCCCGGCCTTCCCGCCGCCCGCGTCTGTCCCCCAGCCGTGGGCTCCTTACCCTCAGAGGCGGCCCTCGCCCCCACGCACAGCCACA